AGAATGTTCCCTGGAGTCAAGGATTCTGAAGCTTCATCTGACATATTTTGGGCATGTTGCAAGGAGGGACTGGTCCTTGGAGAGGGATATCATGTTTCGCAGATTGGAGGGGAAGCGAAGGAGAGGAAGACCTTTGATGAGATGGATCGATTCTGTCACTGGAGGGGTGGGAATAAGTGCATTTGAGATGGCTAGGTTGGCACAGAATAGAAGAACGTATAGAGCTCTTGTACATAGGGTCACTATGAGTCGTAAACGACTTGATGGCACATAACAACAACAAAGGAAGTACAGGGTGACATGAAGGTTTAAAGGCACCTGAAATTCACTAAACAGTTTATTGTCAAGTGCATTGTGTTGTATTGGGCATTTTATTTAGTCAAGGTGTGCGTTTTTTCTATTTACCAGGTACTTTTAGACAGAGTTGATTAATTGATTTTAAATCTTATTTCTTAGATTTTTTAAATATTTTTTTTGATGGAAGTTTACAGAGTCTTTGGATTCCCATTCATTCATTGTTGCACATTTTCCTCCCTGCCCATCCATCCCTCCTACCACCCAGTTTGCTTTTATCTTTGAAAAGTTAAAAAAAAATTCGTTCGTTGTTATACAATAAACCCCCCCACCCCCAGTCCACTCCACTATGCAGCTTTCATTCTGGACTCTTGTCATGACAATAATACCTAAACATATATTCCTCCTAAACAGTTCTCTCCCCCATCTGTTTCAATGCAGTATACACTGTTTCTTCCCTCTTAGCTTCCCCCCAACTCCGATGTCAGACCCACTTTACAACACTGGCACTGTGCAGTATTTATCCTTTTGTGACTGAGCTTTTCACTCAGCATAATGTCCTCCAGGGTCATCCATTTTGTATAATGTTTCATGAGTTCCTTTTTTCAATGCAGCATAGTATCCCATTGTGTGACTATACCAAAGCTTCTCTAGCTATTCGTCTGTTGATAGACACTTGTGTTGTTTCCAGCTCTTTGCTGTTGTGAAGAAAGCCACAATAAACATGGTGTGCATGTATCTGCTTGGGTGGCAGTTATGGTTTCTTTGGGGTATATTCCCAGTAGTGGAATTGCTGGGTCAAATGGTATTTCTATTTGCAACTTTTTGAGAAAGCACCGTATAGCCTTCCATAGTGGTTGCACCATTTTACACTCCCACCAACAGTGAGTAAGGATTCCAGTTTCTCTACAACCTTGCCAGGATTTGTTATTT